TTTCATTACTCATGGTTGGACACTCAACCTAACATCTTTTCAGTCTTAGTTATATCCCTACAAAAATTAAATTTCTTTTTTAAGTCTAACTTGTACCCATTTTTTTGACATTTAAATATTCACAGGCAGGTTTTATATAAAAACATGAACTTTTGCATTGGAACCTACTACCCAATCACTCTGATTTTTCGAAATCCTTAGGTTTCATTGTTGGTATATTATTTCATCGGGACATAGTTCCTAACTATGTTTTGTTGACTATAAACTGGAAAAGATCTGCTAAGAATCGTTTTTTGTTAAAGGAATAGAGACCGGCGGGAACGAGCTAAAACGTACACTGTAGAGAAAAGACTGCGCAATATCGCTTATCTAGCTTCCCTTAGCAGGGCGTGTGTGTGAGTACCAATTTTTTTATCCATCACAAGAAACTACGTACGTTAGAACGGATGTCTCGCATCCCCGAAGAGGGACACGAGGACTATAAACTTTTCTGCCTTAAACGTCAAAAATTCTTTAAACTACTAATAAAATCTTATTATTTCATTTTATATAAATTCTGTTATTCTTGTCATTGATAAGCTCCTTTAAAACAAACTATATGACACTGTTATTATTTTTATAGATAAAATTTTAACTTACAAAATTTGCAGACTCTGTTCTTACCGCGAAGAATTAATTTCGCAGTAAAATCCGTCCTTAGAATTGATTCCTCCCTACGAAGTCAAACCATTCTTAACAGTGACTTTTGTCGTAGTTGTACTCCATAAAACAATTTACAACATAGTCGTAAACACCGATATCCTTGACCGTGTCCATCAGATAGGTGTCCCTGGGATTTGTGGGGTACTTTTACAGACATTCGCGTTATGATTGTGTGTGTCCAACATATAACTGCGGGAGGAGAAGAGGACATCGGATAAAAGGTTAGTATTTGAAGCGAGAAAAGAGCAAACCGAAATCCTCGTCGTCCGTCGGGACCAAGTGACTAGGGGGCCCCCATAGGTTACTACCGAACTCCTCGGTGTTTCCTGGGTCGTTCCTCCTCCCCCCCCGAACAAGAAATTTTGCCGAAGTACCGTCTGAAGTTGTGCCGAAGAACAAGTGTGGAAAAACTCACTGTTATCCAAGAGGTGGACGTCATCGTCTAAGACATAAAGACAGTACTTAGTAAACTTTGACGGAGACAAAAACTACTCAAGTACCGAGGTAGTTAATCTCCCCGGAGTAGTTTAACGGCTGGGTCGCCAAACCTCCAATCGACTTAACGAATAAACTCGAGGGACACAAAGAAAACCAGGGACGCATTGAACGAGTATTTACCTCGCCGACGGTCTGCTTGTGTGAACGGAAGATTAAAGGAAAACAAAAAGTAGTAGTGTGTACAACGACAATACCTTCGACGGCGAGCAGGACCAAGTAAAGACACTCAAACACTAAAGTCTCTCGACACATAACCCAGGCTTTAGTACAACAGTTTGTTACTGTGTTCTTTTTTGTGGCGGACTAGAATCAAATATCGATTTATCGTCACCACGTCCCTACTGCATAAATGGGTCTTTACTATCGACGCGCGAGCCAAAGGGGAGTTGTTTTTTCGTGACCCCTAAAGAGGCATCCTAAAGCCTTTTTATCGAGCTTTTATTTCACGTAAATAGTTTTGCTTGGACAACTATTTACGTGCAAAACAAGTCGGGGGGCCTATTATAGGTGTTACAGCATGAGGGATGAAAATATTAAAAGCTAGGTACTTTAGATTAGCGGTCCTCGGTTTACGATTGCAAAATACGATATTTGATGTGATGTCGGTCCCGAGCGACGAAGTTGTAGTGCGGTGAAGTTCTAAGGTCATAAAGTTTTTAGTTCTAATTTTTACGCGATGTTCAAACTTTGAAAACAAAATTGTCAAACGTTCTCCGTCGCGATGAACTAAAGTCGTCTAGTCACGTTTTGATTCCCCATCGCCGCGCGCGGGCACAAAATGCACTAAGTCCCCCCGGCGACAATTACGCTGTCTTGCCGAGCTGTTTGAAGACATCAGGAAACGTCGGTCGTACAAGACATTGGTTTGGGTACAGCAGAAGTCTGGTGCATTTGAGAAGTTTTAGTAGTCCCCAGTGACGGATACCATGACAATTACAGCCATCTTCGTTTGCACTAAGGCACGGAAGGTTAAGGCGCCCCACACAGTTTGTGTCTAGAATAAAGTCGATGAAAGGTTTTAGGAATACCTCCTAAGGGTAACTGAGACGTCTGCTCCCTTGGCGTCCACATCACTCCTCCTCCGAGTGAGCTGAAGCCAGAATCCTGAGACAGTGACGTGGTGAGTAAGCCTCCAACTACAGTAGTACGACAGTTACAAGACGTCAACTGAGGATATTATTAACTTTTTAAGGTAAAATTTCTCGCAGTTTACTCTACTGTAATTACAGTTTGGAGTATGTCATAAAACGACAGTTTGAGAACACTATATAAATTTCGTTGCAAAACGGTATGAAAGATAATTAGTGGCCACGAACGGTTAGGGGTTAAAACTTCTAACCTACCATTAAACAGGTCCAACAACCTGTACCTCAGCACCAAAATCAAGACTCGACTCGAGCCACCGCGTCCTACAGACCCGCTGAGTTTCGAGGCTACTGTACGCTCTACTAAGGGTGAAGACCTAGGGAGATAAACAACCCTGACAACCATCTGTCACTACACCGTGTGTCTACGGAAACAAACGGTTACGACTTACACGTGTGAGAGGTCTTTTGTGAGGAAAAAAACAGTGTGAGTTGACCTCAAAAGGAGCAACAGTCATAATCCCGATGTTTGCAGTGACAATAAAAGTAACGACTCTAAGACCGTTAACGAGAACGAACTAAATTCATCAGCATATACGGTAGTCTTTGAATGACTTTTTTCTTTTGAACAATTTCAGGATAACCAGCTCTTCTCTAGAATGCTCAACCGTCGTCTAGAAATGAGAAGAATAAGAAGATTAAAGTCAAAAAACTGAGTAAACAAATGGTAGTCCAATGTTATCGAC